ATATTGAATTAGATGTTGAATCAAAGTTTTCCATTAATTTTGTTTTTGAGTTAAACAAAATTTTTAATATTTTAAATGGTCGCCCCCTATTTTATGATCTAAGAATTACAACTATCTGTATGTTATTTAATTTTTATCGAAAGAAAATTTTATACATGGTGATTTTAAAAGGTGGCAGGCGGTGTAGAATTTTTATTTATGGCCCAATTTTCGAATTCTCCTAAATGTTAAAGTATATTTTGCGTTATATTTAACCTTCTAATTTCAAAGAGAGACTCAATTTTTTTTTACAATTTGGAAGAACTCTTTATTTGCTTTAATTAGTACGCAGGTACTCTTTATTTGTTTTAAGTAAAAAAACAGTTTTTGGTTATTCTAATTAGAACAAAGAAGGTGCAATTGACCATTTTTAAGCAAAAGAAGAGTCTTAAAACAAATACTTTTATAAAAATGCAATTTTAAGTAAGATTAACATGCATTTCTCCTATATGGCGCAATACCTGAATAGCAAACCTTAACTTCAAAAAAATCATATCTTAAAAACTACTCGGTATATTATTTTAAAAATTTGGAATCTTACTAATAAAACGATGCTCTACACGATGGTGACAAAGAAAAATTTACTCGTAGGGTTTTTCTTAAATTATTTCGATTTACTTCGAACTTCTTCGAACACTGTTCGAAAAAAAGTTTACCAATATTCAATTTCAAATTGTATATCATTCTAAAGGGCAAGTCCATCCCTTTAAAATGGTCTTTATTTGAAGAAAATCGGCCGAATAGTTATTGAGTAATGATTTTTTAAAGTTAAAGTATTTTAAATTCATTTAAATTAGAAAAAAAATTATTTAGTTCAAAATGTGTGGACTTTAAAAAAAAAATTAGTGCATTTGATTTGTCTCAATGAGACGAACAAAATGATATAAAATTTGTCAAGTTGTCACGACATGACTTTTTTTTGTCGCCCTGTGTAAGTAAAAAAATGACTCGAATTTGTAGGAGTTGAATTGGTTGGTCCCAAAAAAAGGGTACTAACTGGTACTTTGGTGAGTTCTTGTTATGCTTTGGGGGAGGTTTTTGCCGCCGGTTCTGCTTGGTATTTCGAGGATTGGAGGTTTGTGAGTGAGTTTTTCCTCAAAATGGTTTAATAAAAAAAATTTCAGACCGATTATTTATATCCTGTATGGGCCCCCAATGTTGTTGTTTGTCTATTTCTGGATAATCCCCGAATCGATTCGATGGAATTTGAGTAAGGGGAGAATAGAAGAAGCTAAAGACACCCTGAGACGCGTCGCAAAAGTCAACGGAAAACCCATCTCGGAAGATGCTTTAGACAAGCTCGCCATGGTGGACCCCCTCGACTCCACCCCCAAATCCTCCATCTGTGAAGTCCTCAAATCCCCCGTTTTGGTGCTCCGCCTCATCAACTGCTTCTTCTGCTGGATCACCTGTGCGTTCCTCTTCTACGGTTTAACACTAAACTCCGTGGCCTTGGCGGGCAATGGCTACTTGGATTTTATTTTAACCTCGTTGGTGGAAATTCCCGCTTATTTCGCGTGTAACTACGTCGTTGAGAAAATGGGGAGAAAATGGTCTTTGAGTTTGTCGTTTTTCATGACTGGCATCTCCTGCTGTGTGTTTATTTTCATTCCGAAAGGTAAACATCGTGACATTATTTAAATTTGAATTCATTTTAATTGATTTACAGATTTGCACAATGTTAGCCTTGCGATGTGGATGCTTGGAAAATTTGGGGCCACAGCTGCCTTTACAATCATCTACATTATCACAAGCGAGTTGTTCCCAACGCCGCTACGGCACTCGCTCATGGGGGCCTGCTCGACCTTCGGGAGGATTGGCTCCATGATAGCCCCCCAAACCCCCCTGCTTGTGAGTCAAAGATTGGTTTAGTTCAAAAATAAAATCAAAAAATGAAAAAGTAGAAAACAAAAAAAAAAGAAAATACAAAATACTAAGTATACAGAGTGCGCCCCAGAGGTAAGGTCAGATACCAGGAACATGGAAAAAATGTTAAAAAAATTCTATCTTTGAAAATTTCGAAATTGTGTGAGTTTAAATTTTGCAGTTTAACTATTTATTTCTGTTAAAAAAAAATTCCAAGTTTTTTTTTTGCTACAGGCTATTAGAAGAGGAAACAAGGAAGCTGTCTCCTAAATTGTAACTCTGTTTAGTGTTATTTGTGGCTTTTATTAGCAAAATGTTTGTACCTTTACTAAATAATTATAAAAAAAACATATACAAGATTATCAGTATCATTAAATAGACATAAAAAATGTCAAATGTCAAATTTTTCTCATAGATAACATTTTTTAAACATTTTTTCCATGTTCGTGGTATCTTATCTTACTTGAAATTTTACTCTGAAGGGCGGGTTTTGATACACCTTGTATTGTATTAAGAAATTTTAATT